TTCTCGTGTGATGGGTCAAATGCAGAGCAAACATTTCAGCACTTTATAGAAACATGCATTGAAGACAAATAAACTACGTTTCCATAAATGAATAAACAAAATACTGACTGAAGCCCCCTTCAGTGATTCTGAGTTACTGCTTATACACTTCTGAACAAATGATGAAAACAAACCCTTTCACTCACATCCCTTTGAAGTCTCCTCCTTTTGGTATTTTACTGCTGTGGTAGTACGTGAGGGTTGTGTAAACTGTGGAGCAGAGGAAGAGTGCGCCTGTTTTATCTTCTCTATCTGGAGTGCTCCAGGTCAGAGTTTGATAGGCAACCTGCCCTTATGTCTTTTATTTCTTATCTTCTTACCTGCATGACCCCGACTCTGTCTTTCTCTCTTTTATTTGCCCACTTCTGACTTTCTCCTACATTGCCTACACGCTGGTATTTTTGCTGAACCCCCTCTGCTCCACTTCTCGAACTCTTTCTTGGTTTATCTTCTGTTCTATCTCTCCTCTCTGTCCGTGCTTCTTTGACTCTGTCCCCCCCCTCCCCTCTCTCTCTTCGTTCTCCCGTTTTCTTCCAGTCTTCGAGAAATCTGAGGAATCTATCAGCAGACGTGAAGCCATGCACCGCACCACTCTGCTCTCCTCTGTGTTGAAATGCCGATAAGAGGCATTGCTTGGCAACGCTCCCCCAAGCCTGCATCTAACCTAATTTCCCTCTGGGATCAATAAAGTATTTTTGAATTGAATTGAATCTTTCAAATCAACAGATGTTTCTTCACACACAAACACACCCGCACACATGAACCCGCCTCAAGTTTTTTTTAGATGCGCTGCTTCAAAGTGCCCAGCTCCTGCGGAATTTCAGCACAGCCAAGCTTCACTCTAACTGGAACATCTCCTGCTTTCATTTCCATGTTTTGAAGCATTCTATATTGGTTTGTCGTTCGTTTTTCCTCTAATGTAACGGAAGCAACATGGTGTCTGTCGTGGGCACAAAAGGAAAGATAGAAGTTACTGCCGATTCAGTTGGACCGCCATCTCTTTCAACCTTTCATTTGTGTGGTTTCCTTGTTGGAACGTAAAAAGTTTTACCATTAATACATGAAAGGGCAACAGGTGGCCCATGGGTGTCTTCTGTCTGGCCCATCTTGCTGGCCAGATGGAATTTTTATGTGTTTTACATGTATAAATCAAAAATAAATTTGACTTTGCATCATAGCGTTTCTAAACACCTTGAAATTGGCCTCTGTCTCTTTAAGAACCTCCTACCACTTCTGTCACACCAATTTCTTCACGTCAGCTTCATGTTTACAACCTGGAGCATTGTATCCTATTTTGTTGTAATAATAATAAAAAGCAGCAACATTGTATATATCAATTTTGGAAAATGGCAACTAGGGATGCAATTGAACCTTACCATCGGACCCGGAGTGTACGTTTTCTGAAGAACCGGAGTGAGTAGAGAGATATCGTTTCAGCTTGATAAGAAATCTCCCAGCCAGTTATTCTCACATGATACACACATGTCAATGTTGCTAATTTATTTATTACTAAAATGTGATGCAAGCCAACTAACGAACTCTGATTGTAATATAAGTTATGAATGGTAACCTTAGATTACAGATAGACCAAACAACCAAACAAAACAACATGAGATGTTTCTCAGCTTACCTGGGCAGATGACAATTCCTTCCAAATGTTGGAATTGCATTGCCTTTTAGTGATAATCTTATTAGTCCACTGTTAAATTCCCTTTTGTTCAGAAAGCTGTCTTCTGTAAAGTGGCTCGCACAAATATATTAAAAAATATATTTTTCTACGTAGGGTTACTTCTAAAAAAACCAAACAAACCATTTTTTAAGAACTGTATCATCCTTGGCATCTGAAAATACATTTCCTCAAAGACATTTTTTATCCAAAAAGGACTGGACTGGGAAATAGTATTACGAGCTGAGCAGATGAGCGGTTTCACCAGGTATTTGTTTGCTAATTGTTCCTACCGATAGCCTGCAGGAGTCGCGGGGGAGGCGTGGTCTGTGATGCAGAAACTCTGCTTGGAGACACAGCCCAGAGGAGGAGCTGTACCTAAAAGGCGGTTCTAGGGCCAACCAGATATTTTCGTTCTCCTGCATGACTGCCATAGGACACTACAGGATTTCTCAAACATACATGAATGAATCAAAGCAACACTGTGTGTATGTTTCTGATGAGGAGCTAATGTTATAACACAATAAAAATCTCAAAAGTTTATTTTACATGAAATTGCTTGCCCCTTTAAAACAGCTATTAAAATCTATAAACTACGGTACTTTAAGACTGCTTTTTTAAGTTAAAAAAATGTTTTGGGAAGTAGATTATCTGTTCAAAGAATGCTTTGTATGATTTTAATATAAGCTGCCACTATAACACGTTGCACAAAGCTAAATATAAAGTTTACTAAACAACTACGACTTATTTACCAGAACCATTCTGGAGTCTGCACTTCAGCATGCTAAAATATTAACTTTTTGTTTGCTTTAAATGTTTTATATTCATATTTATTAAACAAGTGTACAACTGTTCTACATGCATTTGAGCATGAAATATGTGAAGTTACTGCACTGCATGTTTGTTTAATAAACAAACACACAAGCTTTTTTTAAATGGCAGTTTTATTACGTTATGTTATATGTGCAGTGCTATGCGACACCCTGGATGTGTCAAAAAAAATTTGTGGCCCCTTCCTTGGTTGAAGTTTCCCATCCCTTCTCTATTTGGAGTTGAATAATACAGTTGAAGGAAATGTCTGTGTCCTGACAAACAAGAGAAACAAACAAAGTTTATGTTCAGCGTTAACCACAGCACTTGGCGAATACATCAGGGATTTAATGGATTCAGTAGGCTGACAGCCTGCTCAGTACTAGTTTGTGTGTATATTTTATTCCAGAGCCTGTTCCTTGTGATTGTTCCTTTTCTGCAATCATCATCCAGTTCTGTCAGTGACGCAAGACTCGGTGCCAACAGTGAGTCTGGACAAACTTGCGCTCAGAGGAGCGCGTGTGTGGGCGAGCAGAAAAGACTGCACACACAGCCATATGTATGCATCAAGTCCAAGTTTAGTATGGCCCCGTGCCAACATCACACCACAGCATTTAGTCTACATGTCTTTGTTGCCCTGTGGGCAGTGCTCAATCAAATCTGATGACTGGGCTGTCTGTGGATATAAAAAGAAATCCCAGTGTAGTTCTCAGCCACGGCACAAGTTGAGAAAAATATTGATTGTTTCATCACTTCAAAAATGTTTTTTATTCTAAATTTAAAAGCAGCTCCTCACTCATTGCTGCATGTAGTTCTGCTCTTACCAAGAGTAGTTTTTCCTCTGAGGATGTGCATGTATTATAGTGATAACTAAAACTTCAATTTTTTTTTGTAAAAGGGCCCACAGGATGCCAACAAACAAAATGTCTTGCCTTTTTTTTTTTTTTTTTCTGAGTAGTCCTGACGGTTGTGTGGAGGATGTTAAATAAACCAATTCCTAAAACAGAGCGCCACTTGACGCACATTATAGTGATAACTAAAACTTCAATTTTTTTTTGTAAAAGGGCCCACAGGATGCCAACAAACAAAATGTCTTGCCTTTTTTTTTTTTTTTTTTTACCTGAGTAGATTTAGCATAAAGGCAGGGCTACTTTTACCCAGTTTTCCTGTCACTCTTTCAGCCTGGAGCAACAAATTGTGGTTGTTTTCTTTAGTTTTAAGTATTTTAGTCCTAAGCTCCTAAAATTTGCTCACATCCGATCTATTCTGGTTTAGTTCTGTGTTGATAGTACCTTCCCACATAGTCTTCATTATTGCAAGGGGGCACTTAGTTCAATTCTTTACCAAAGTCAAGTAACTATATTACCTGACGTTATCAAAACACTGTATATATCAAGCAAAAATTAGACTTCTAAAAGCCTTGAAATTAGCCTCTGTCTCTTTAAGAACCTCCTACCGTTTCAGACACTTCCACTTCAGCACATCTTCACAACGATGCTTTGGAGGAGGGGTGTTCTGTGGTTCAGAAGGTCAGCGGAAGGCTGATCTCCAGGGAGGAACTTTGTGAAAATAGGCAGTGCTTTGTACCAGGCCAGCAAGCATTTAGGCAGCTCCATGTGGCTACCACAGGAGATTCAAGGATTTCTCAAACATGCATGAATGAGTCAAAGCAAATCTGTGTATGTTTTTGATGAGGGAATAACATTATAATATTATATAAAGCTCAAAAAAGTATTTTTTTTTACATAATAAACCCTCACTTTAGCATTTTATTTCTACTCTTCCACCCTTATGCCCATGTTGAGAAAATCAGTAGGGCAAGTGTGTATTGCTTGTCATTGAGCTCCTTTATTTTGAAAAGTTGGAATCTTGCTGAATTTTTCAGCTGTACATTATCAGCGGAGAAGACTCTCTGATGGAGCAAGTTTATAAGAAGGTAATGGGGTCATAAGCAAACATCAGAAGTTAAGCCGCAGGTTGTCAACAGATATTTTTACAGTTTGTGTCACAGTTAGTGAACTGTAACGTCGCTAAGTCACATGGACCATGACCCGCTTACTTTCAGGTGGTTAAAGCAACTCGTTCCTTTTCAGTCTCTCATGTTTCATATTATAATCAAAGAACGTGCCGAGTCAGTGTTTGGCAGGGATGTTTTCACATTTGTTTCCATGTGACGGTAAACAGAGTGGGGATAGCTTACAGATTAGTCCTTAGTGTTGACAAAAGGGACAGCGAAAAGAGGCTGAGAGCGGAAGCAGGGCTGACCACACGTACTAAAGGCCTTGAAGTCGCGCCGTGATTTCCTCTCTAAACAGACGAGAGTTGACGGAAGAAACTCCAGCCGCAAAACTGGGCTTTTGATGTGCTTTCCTCATTGTTTACAGCAAACTCAGGGCGAATAATAGACTCTGCGAAGTTTTAGGGCTTTGTTAGGAGAGGAACAGGGAAAAATAGAGGCCTGAAGTTTTTCTGTTTACTCTTTCAGATTGAAAACCCCAGGTATTTGAGAGAGAAGCCCGTTCCCTTATCCCCAGTAAGTTGTCACAGGCTCTTTTGTGGTTTATTTATTGTTGCTTGGATAAAAGTGATGTCTCTGAGCTGCTCAATCCTCTCATCAGCTAATTTTTCTCTCCTTTGTCTTCGTAGATTTTGACAACAAGCTTTGAGATGAATTGCACCTTTGCCAATGATCATGACCCACAAAGCAAAGAGGTATGCAGCTGAATGGAAGCTTTAGGGGAACTTGACAATAACTAAAAGCTTTTTTGTTTGATGAATCAGGCTTTCTAAATAACTGATGCCTTCTATATCCAAAGGCGGTAGTAGATGGTATTTATGAAATAGTTATTCATATACATTCCAGCAAGCTTTAAATCCTCGCCGCTTACTACTGAATACACACAGTATTTGTATGAAAACAAGAGCAGAACACAGACAGAAAACAAAGCTCCTCTGGCATTAGAAACCCCCACAGCCATTTACAAACATCCATGTACATGGATTGGATTGTTAAAATGGCTAAGGCTTCTTGGAAGACAAAAATACCAGCTTCTTCTTTTTTTCCCTCTCGTATATGGATTTAAGCAGAAAATCCTATCCTGAAAGCATGCTTTGAAGTCCCCTCTGCCCCTCCCCATCTCTCCCAAACCACCAGTCATTCCTTCTATTGCACACCTTAAATGCAGTGTTAAATATAAAACTGAGCATGACTCCTCTGTAATTGTCACAGCTTTCATAGCCGCTGCAGTCAGTTTGACAGCTTCACTGTGAAGAAGAGGAAGAAACATAGGGTGGGGAGAGAAACACATGACATCTTTCAACAAGAATCGTCTGGTTTGTTGACCGCTCTGCTTTAAGACAATCTTAGCCAAATCAGGCAATAGATCGGTAGGCTGATGTAACACAGTAACTCACGCACACATTAAAGCAACAATTTATGCCGTTTGATCATATCTCAAGTTAGCTGACCAGTGTAGGCTTCTTTCAAGGGAATATACACTACTTTTAAAGCATACTCCTTCTCTACCTGATATGTTTAGGTACACCTGTGCAGTCTGATGCTGTCCAATAAGTCAGTCCTGCTACAAAATGTTCTGTGTGAAAGTTATGTTTACCAGATTTGTTATCTTGTCAAAGAGTATTGATTTGCCTCATTAGACGTTTAGGGACCCATTTGTTGGTCGATACATAAAGTCTAACTCTGATGTGGAGCCATACTGAAGAGTTAAGAGCATAAATTAAAAGACAGGGCACTGAGAAATCTGTGGTTGTATATTGCTGTCTTAAGCTATAATTTTCCAAGCAGGTATAAATTAACAGCAGTGCTAATATGGTTTTAGGAATACAAAATGAAGCTGTTGCGAGAACAACATTGTCTGCCAGGGTTCATGCTGGGTCTTAAAAAAGTCTAAAATCTGAAAATCTAAATTTTAGGCCTAAAAAAGCCTTAAAAACACCCAGATTTTCATCCAAGTTCTTAAATTTAATTTTGTCAAGTCTTAATTTTTTTTTACTTTTCATCATTCCTGAGAAGTGTTGGCTGCATGAATAAACAGAGTAAAGAGCTGCAATCAAAGGTTGACACGATCTGTCTTCATGAAGTGCTAAGTTTGCTACTGGTCTTTGTACATGTTAAACTACAAATCCCGTGATGACTGCAGGCAAAAAAATGGCACAGTTTGCTTCCATGTTTTTGACCTCGTCGCTACAACCCCCCACATACGGCAGCTTGTTCACCCGCCCAAAAAACCCCAAAAAGTTTAGTCATGTCCACTACTTGTTGTTTAAACATGAGAAAGTGTGTTTTCAATGAGACTGGGCTGATATCAGTGATTTTTGCACTCAGTTGGAAGCGATCCACAGCAGTCGATATTAAGGTCTCATAGATATGACTGATTCATTAAAATAATTTAATGTTCTTGTATGAAGATTTAAATATCCTTTAATAACTAAATTGATAACAATTAAAGGTTTCCATGTTAAAATTTCTGMGARGATTTGAATGTTTCTGTTAATGCATCAGTTTGGTCTTAAATGTCAGTCATAATGGTCTTAAAAGGTCTTAAATTTAACTTATTGAAACCTGCATGAACCCTACTTTGGCCTACCAAAGACGATTTTATGTTGCATTGCTTACCAGCTTCAGTGTTGTTTACACCATTCAGTAGGTTGGTTTTGTAGTCAAGACCACCTAAACCGAGATCAAGTCAAGAACAAGACCAGAATGTCTCGAGACTGAGAGAAGACCAAGACTTTTAGGGGCTGAGACCAAGTCCAGACCAAGATGGAAATGTGTGCAAGTGCAATGGGGTGGGGATGGGTGACAGCAGTAACAAAAATACAGAATTAGCATTGAGTCACGCTTGGATATGAATCCCTATGTTTTACATCCAATGAAAGCAAGAATGTTGTCAAATAAATTGAACGATTTTCTGCCTATTAAGTGATATTTCCACAGTTGTGGTCTTTACTGGTTTTGAAATAAAATCTCAAGTCGGAGACAAGTAGTAAAAATTAGTAAAGTAGAAAGTACAAATGCGGTCGAGCCTGAGACAAGACCAAGACCATCAAAAAGGTGGTGTCAAGACTGGTGTTGAGACAAAGACCCATCTCGAGTACTACAACATTGAAACATGGCTGTTTCGCCGATATACAGGAAATGCAACAAGACGTCATATTTGTGCCATATGTTATTAAGCTGATGGAAGCTTAACAAACATCATAAATTTCACTTCAGGCTCACCCTCCTGCTAATCTGACAACAGCATTATTAAAAGTGCAGAGTGCATTTTTTTCCAATCGTAAAATGAGTGACGTCTTGGAAATTCAACTGCTAGCTGTAAAAGTCACTTATTTTACACCAATGTGCCTGCTTATGGGTGAGAATGTCTTGCAGAAGCAGCAAAGTCCTGCTAATCCTACAGCACACACTAAAAGTGCTTAGTGTTAGGAGGGCTGAACCTTTATTTGAAAATTCAATTAAATTGTGATTGATGAGTCAGTTTTAGCTCAACACAGGCCCACGGCTAGTGATTACAGAAGATAGTGTCAGGATGATTAAATCATTCAGCCTTTCTCTCACAGTTTGTGTGTACAAGCCATCTGTAAGTGTTTCCCCTGGTAGCTGACCTGAGGGATCGTGGGCAGCAGTTGTATAAATGAGTGTTTGTGCTAAGCAGTCATGGTCTAATGGTCCACAAGTCCGTGACTGGGGATCAGACCTCTACGTTTACTGATGGCATAATGTTGCAGTCTCTCTAATCTGAGCATCCTCTGGGATGGAGCTTGAGCTCTGAGCCTGTGATTTAGAGGGCCATAGCCTGTCTTATCTGATCGCTTTTGAAAGCTAAAAAGAGTAACCTTGTGAGTCTCAGTAGTTTTAAAGGGGACTAGTTCTGCAGTTGACTTTCAAGATGGTGCTTCAGGCAGGGACCCATAAGGGATTTGCAGTGTTTCATAATACGAAAGTTACTATTTCAAACATGTCTACCCAGTTCTCAATTCCTTTTTCTTTTTTATTTTTGTTTTAAGAATTTGAATGCTAGTCTCTTTCGCTCCTCGTTCAAATGAAACATTTTGCAAAAACTATGAGAATATATTTTTCCTACCTCAGAGAATACATTTTAGTCAAAGTTTTTATCCAGCCTTTTTATCTGGACTTCTTGTTAGAGTGTGGAAATGGCATCTAGCTGTTGCTCAGTAGATAACTCGGTGTCACATGCTGACTATCCCTCGGCATCTGTGTTTACTGAGGATTAAAGACACATCAGGACATTGCACATCTCAAGGAGGAAGATGGAAACGCACACATGCTTCTTTTGCAGAGCTCAAACATTTAGCAGAGAATTTACGAATGTATCCTCCTGAGGAAGGAGGTCTTGACCCCKACGCTGGTTTTGAGAGAAGCAGCAGCAACTGTTTTTTTTTTTGTCTTCTACTCACATTCCCGCTCTCGCATACTCCCCACCCCTTCCCTCCCAAGCTCTCATCCTCTCAAATACGAGGTGTCAAAAAACATGGCATCTTACAGCGCTCGCTTCAACTCAGGAGCAGAGAAAAGGGGAAAAGCTGTACCACCCAGTCGGGCTGATTGAAGACATCTCAGAAGCCTTAGGTGTACGACATCCCTCCTCCTCCTCCCTTCACCGACGCCTTTATAAACAAGTTTCAAATACCACTGATCTAGTTTGACAAACTTTCTCCAAAGAGCATTTGAAGAGAGGATAAGAAAGTGACACCCCCACATGATTTATTATTTTTTTCTTTCTCTTTTTTGTAGGCACCGGCAGAATCAGGTCTCTCTACTTAATCTTTTGCTTTTCAATCACTGCCATCTCTCTCTCCCCTTTTCTTCCCCTGTCTGTCTCTCGCTTCTTTTTGACTTTTCCTTTTTGACTCTGACAGGTCTCCCGTGGTCCCCTCAATTGCACAAGAAATAGCGGTAAATCACGAAAAAAGACAGGGAAGAAAGGGCAGAATACTTAACAGAGCTTTGTCAAGGATACAGTCTGAATGTAGCTCCAGCTCTGTAATGAGGAGAGGCATCCAGACGGCAATTTATGCCTTTTATTTGGACTTTTTTTTTTTTTAAAGCGAGCTCAGAATGAGAGGGGAATTGCTCACTTCTGAACAAAACTTAGGCTCTTAAGTTTTATTGATTCCACCATTTCAGTCGCAGAGCATGGTAATATTTTCTTCTCCTCCTGTAATCTTCACTACATTATTTTTATCAAATTACATCAATATTTATGCACTTAAATACATCAAGTGTGGCTGGAATCTTGCAAATGTTGTGTATTTCTTATTAAGTAAAAAAAGCAATACAAGCGAGTCCTTTTCCTAAAGAAATACCCTTTGAGAAAACCGACACATCGATCAGTTTAAAGCAAAAACAGACTGTTGCATCATTGAGAGACTGAAACATGTGACCTGGTCTTTGCTGCATAGCTCACGTCTTCAGATTTTATTTTCTCTGACAACACCTTTTACCTTTTGACATATGGCAATTGAAATATAGTTTTTAACCCAGATAAAACATTTGTTTTGCTTTGATATTTGCCAAGAGAAGAGGTCTAATGAGATTTTGCTGTGCCAAGTAATGTTTAGGGAATTTTTTTCTGCTTAATGGTTTTGATGACTAGAACAAGCAAGATCTAGCCTCAGGATGTTGTTAACCACTGACTTGTGTGCACACTCACACATTTTCAAAGGAAGAACATTGTCACTCTGCTGCAGGTTTGATTAACACACCAGAACAAATACCGACTGAACTTAAGTAGTGACTTCAAAGCAACAACCAGTTTTTTTTCTGTCAAAGGTTTTTCTGTGTGTCTCCATGTGTTGTGTGTTTGTGAGGGGAAACATCTTCTAAGCACACTAATTAGAGACAGCAGCATGGAAAAGGGGAAAAAATAACTTTTTTTAAAGATCAAATGAAAGCATGGAAGTGATGGAAGGTGACAAAAATGACTATAGTGGGATTTAGACGTGAAAAATTTCCACAGAAACCAAAACAGTTTTGACTCCGTTATTGTCACAATCTGCTAAAATATGGCAGAAATGATAAACAGAGTCTGAAGTCTGAAACGGGCAGTGGCCCAGAACATCACTTATTAAAAGGGACATATACAAAATCCACTTTTTTAGCCATTAAAAGCATTTTGTTGTGTACTTGAGTGCAGAAACGTTGAATTTAGTTTCCCTCTATGCTGCATTGATATCTTTATATTCTGTTTGGGTCATATTTTTCAAACCCTTCAATTTTTTCTATTTTCTAAGACGTTTCCTGAACTATTACGTCAAGTTATTTGTAACGAAACTTCTAAATAAGGTCTGGGCTTACCAACTACAATTTCTGCTCCGGCTCCAGCTCCAACAGGTAAGGCTGGATGGACAAGTCTTCTGTTGTTGACAGCTTTGAATTAATTTGTAAATAAAATGTTTCTGCGCTGCTATAGTGTCATTATCCCTTCTATCAAAGGACAATGGATCGCTCTGGAAGCTGGAGGGGTGGCAGGGTGTGAAGCGCCTCATTTGGGTTTAAAGAGGCAGCCTCAAAATGAGTTGATCTGCGACACACTTCGGAAAAGGGCTGAAAGAGGAGCTTGTGGAGATAGAATAAGGAGGAATTCAGACCAGAGCATTGCAGTTTAACTTAACTTTATATGTGAAAAGAAGGATTTAAATGATGATGTGTCTCCTTTAAGGCGTTAAAGGTTGGTGTGAAGATCTACTGTCATTTTATTTTCTTGGTGCAGTGGATTTTGYATGTGAATAGTTTCCTGATTTTTTTTTAACAATTGACTAAAGACAACACAATCTTTATATCTCTTTAATTTTGTAATTTTTTTTTCATAAACTGAACTAAAATTTGGCGTGGTTGTTGTTGACAGTCATCCACATAATATAGTATGAAAGGCTACAGATTTGCAACATCTTTGCTTAAAACTTTGACATGCAATAGAGCAAAATAAATTTCTACAAGAAATTGTATTTTTTATTTAGAATCTGCAACTAACTGAGATAAATTTCTTATCCTTACAGAGGGAACCTTTATTTTTTAAATGTGGTAAAATAGTTTTTTTATTTATGTTCTTTAGATGTTAGGAATCTGAGAAGTAGAAAATTCTGTGAAGTGTTCTTTGTTTTCTTTTCAACTAGTCGGTAATGTGCTTGATTGGAAGATGGTTTACACTAGATTAGCTTTTCAATTTGCAAAATTAGGTTAATTCTGTGTTGCAACAAACAGTGTTACTAGACAACAGATCATTTTTGCTCAATAATCATGTCTTAAACCAGAATGTGTGAACGTGTTGCTAATGTGTGACATTTTGGCTTTGGTTGTTTTCAGACTGAGATGAAGATCAAAGTGTTGGAGGCGAAGCACCAGGAGGAGAAACTGAGAATGCAGCAGAGACATGATGCAGATGTTGAGAAGGCAAGGTTGCAATGAGAATACAGTGCAACTACACTGCTCAAAAAAATAAAGGGAACACTACTGCTCAAAAAAATAAAGGGAACACTTAAACAACGCACGCTAAGTCCAAGTAAATCAAACTTGTGAAGCACATTCAACTCTGTACAGAACAAAGTGCTCAATGCGAATATTTCATTGATTAAGATCGGGAGTTAGCGTGCGTTGTTTAAGTGTTCCCTTTATTTTTTTGAGTAGTGTATATTTTAACCATTACTATTGTGTTGTTGTAATTTAATGTAGGTTATGCAAGTAGATGCAAGGTAATGCAAGTAGAAAATGCTGATTTAGACGTTGAATTGACAATTCTTCGTTCTTGAAATTACTCTCATCTTTATGACGTCAAGTTAAAGGTTTATGGGGAAATAATATAGCATAAGGTAAAAACCCTGATCATTTCRTTTTGAATATGAACAGTTTTCACAYTCCTCAGCTAAACTCACAGATAAAGTCTGTGTAGCTCATGATCCAGTTCACCATTAATTCTGACGTTCTTTGCTAACTTGAAAGTAAAATAATATTTCTCTTTACTTCTTTTCAAAGCAGCTTGTCAGCTGGCGCAAGCAGCCATGAAGCTGCTTTTTTTTTCACATCAAGTGCCCATCAGCTGGGCTGCAGATCAGCCACCTGGAATCTGTCAGATCTTCACATTGACTTTTCTTTGCTGCTGCAGAAGCTTTTAATAAAACAGAAGGAAAAATGGTGACCGGTTCTCTCTCTCCACTTCAAGACGCTTGTTGTGCATTTGTGGTTAACAGGAGGCAAGATGACAGCTCACTTTGTTTTATTCTTTCTGTTTGCAAGTTATCTCCACTTTCATTTTCTGTGATATTAACTCATTTGGCTTTAAAAAAACATTGATTTGAAAGACGCACTTCGAAATGCTTAATGGAAAATGGACAATGCAAATGTATTGTTTATGTTTGCTCTTGAACATTGTGTAGGCTGAAAAAGGGATACTGCTAATTGTTGATGTGCTTAAAAATGAAAAGGCTAATGAGATAAGCCACAGTAGCTGTGTTTACATAGACATAAGTAATTGGAATAAATTACCAATTGAAATAAAAATGTGTCATGTCAACGCACTAATCGGAATATTCTGACCTGATTCAGCTCAACTGGAATGAATTGGTAATCCAAATAAAGAGGGGTGGTTTATGCCAGTTCATAATCCGAACGGCATGCAGGTTAACACTTAATCTGATGATGATATTCTGATTGTGGAAAACTGACCTGGCTGTGCGTGTGCACCTTGTTTCAAATTGACGTTTTACCACCTGGCTAGATGTTAACATGTTGGGGAAGCATAATTGCTCGGTTAGCTCAAAAGCTAAAAATTTTTGAACGCCTTGAAGGTCAAAAGTGTAGCAAGAGCGCAATAATGTCTCTACATTTACTAAACCTTGGTTTAGACATGTTTGTTCATGTTCTTCACAGAAGTAGAACTACTTCTTCTGTGGTTTACAACTCTGCGCATGTCAGTACTTCTATTCTGAATAAAAGCCTGGTGCATGTTAACACTCGTCACAATCGGATCATTTAATTTTCTGCCCGTGTGGACAATTCATTTAGATTATTAAATCAAATACATTGTAATCAGATCAAAGAATTTTATGCATCTAAACATCGCTAGTGTTATTTGCTAATAATTGCAATGGGTTTGCTACTTTGTACTTTTCTTATTACTGGATTATTAGTTTATATATTATATTTTTTATAATAGTGCTCTTTGTTTCATTCCCTGGTTAAAGCTTTGGCTAGCCAAGCTGGACTGCATTAAGATGTCTTGTGAACTAGTCACCCTAAAAGCTGCCGTTTCCCAGCATCTAGTCCCCTCTCCGTGGACCTGACATTGTAACATCACGTTGTCTGGCAAACCCTAAAAAGACAAAAATGTCTTTGGGGTGGTGAAAAGTGGGGGAAAATGCGTTATCTCTAAATGTTTTGTGAACTTTGCTCCAGGCGCCCAATCGTCCTTTCATCTCCCCCATCCCATTCACACACAGATGATGACAGGCTGGGCTAATAAGTGTCTTCATAGGGGTCTATGAACAAACAACTCGGTATTTTTTTTCTGTTTTTTTTTTTTGTCATTTCAGACAGAAAATCAGAGCAACCCACTGAATGCTACTAGTTTATACAGGTGTCCATATGCATGCTAAGAAACAGATGTTTGATTGTGTTGTTGTGCCTAAAATTGTAGCCATTCCAGGGCTTTCAGAACCTGAAACTGACCATCTGAGCAAATGATGTGGCCAATCACGCAACATATACTGTTTGTGCATATTACACACATTATTCAACTGAGAACAAGGGCTGCGAGATTGGTAGGTTGTGTTTCCGTAACCGGGGCTGCAACTCTCCACCGCCTAATTTAACTAATTACGCCCAGATGGCAGCAGCAAGTAGATACATTTACTTCATCACCTCGGCACAGGTGGTTCACTCAGCTGCCATTTTCCTCCGTTTGCCTGCAGTCTCCTAAGGAATGGATATGCATAAGGAGGAGGTTTTCTCATGTCGTGCACGAGTTTTCTGCACAGATGTCTTTGCTGATAACAGCAACAACTCAGCTTGGGGGGAAAAAAAACCACAATATTTATTCATCCTAATTGAATTATTATTATTTCTTTTTAATCTTCTGGATTCATCTTAAATTACATCCCCAATTCCAATGAAGTTGGGACGTTGTGTAAAACCAAGAAAAACTGAATATGATTATTTGTCAATCATTTTATTACTATATTCTATATTCATTTGAATATACTACAAAGACCAGATATTTAATGTTCAAARGGATAAACTTTATTATTTTCAACTGCCTGTAACATGTTCCAAAGATGCTGGGACAGGGGCAACGACTGACTTTTGAGATTATAATTCTGTTTTTTTTTTTTAGCTTTTTTATTTATTTATTTATTTAGCCCTGTTCATTGTGTGTATGTATGCACTTCATATGTGTATGTATGTGTATATTTATAAATAGAGATGTATATGTGAAGGCACTGCATACCTGGTGAGATCGTTTTATCCTTTGCATGGAAATAACCAGGGAAATGACAATAAATGAAATCCTGAATCTTGAACAAAAGATTGGGAATTGAGGAATGCTCAAAAGAACAAATGTTTTGAGCATCGCACAGGCGAACAGGTTAACTAGAAACAGGCGAGTGTCATGATTGGGTGTAAAGGGAGTATCACAGAAAGGCTCAGTCGTTCACAAGCAAAGTTGAGCTGAGGTTCAACGTTTTTCAAAGTACAATTGCAAGGAATTTAGGGATTTTATCATCTACCGTCCATAATATCATCAAAATATTCTGAGAATCTGGACAAATCTCTAAGTAAGTGGCAAGACCAAAATCAACAATGAACGTCTGTGACCTTTGATCACTCAGGTGGCACTGCAATAAAAACTGACTGGGGTTGTTGTTAGTTGATGACATTAGTTTTTTTTTTGTCAAAAGGTCTTGATTAATCAAAAAGAACAAAGAAAAACAAACAACAAACAAAATAAAAGAATTTAATCACTTTCTTTTCTCCGTTCTTTAGATACTGGACCGAAAAAATCGTGAAATCGAAGAGATAAAGAGCCTGTACCGGTCCAAGCAGAAAGAATCAGAGGAGATGATCCGTAAGCAGGAAAAGAAAGGTGAGAGTTGATTGCAGAGTTCACTGGAAGGATGTTTACAAAAGTGTCCCTGAACACTCACAGTAAAAAGCACAGAAAGATACAATTCAGTGAGAGGCTGCTGGCGTGGACTGATGTTCTCCAGCTGTGCTGCTCAGTCAAAAGTTTAATCACATAATTTGTGGCTTTTTTTATATAGCTTTTTTATTATCCTTCCTTTTGGGGGGACTTCTCATTTCTATTATCGGTTTTTATCTAATTCCATAAGTGCCTCATAGAAAAACATAAATTTACTTGTGAAACTTGCTGTTTTAAAGAAAAAAAATCTGTTTTGACACAKATTTTCAGGCAGCTCGTCAATGCACACGTGTGCACGTCTCTCCGTGTGTATCCATGCGTTTATACCCCGAGGCAAGACCTGACTGCTTTCTAAGTGTTTGTGTCTTTACTCTCCCACAGTTCAAAGTTTGCTGCGGGAATCTCAGGTCATCTGTGAAACCAAAGAGAAGCAGATAGCGGAGCTGAAGAAAATGTCAGATCAGAGCGCCGACTCTATAAGAAACGAGTGGGAGAAGAAGGTGCGATACTTTAGCATTGTTTAAGTTGTTCTGAGCCAGCAGAAAACTACTGGTTAATGTAAAACACTTGACTGCAAATCTCACAAACCAGTATTTTATTTACTGCTTTACTGACTGATGAACCTCTGCCCATCTCGACTTCTGAGAGACTCGTTTTTTTTATTCCCAGTCCTTTAACTGACCCATTGCCAAATAATATAATTAACTGCTGCTGTTTCCAATCTGTACCTCTTAACTTTTACAGCCTTTTGTTGCTCCTGCTCCATCTTTATTAGATGTTTTGCCACCATCAAATTCAAAATTACCTGGTGCAGTTTCTTGGTTTTAAGTGGACATGTCATGCTTTTAAATCCTCCTTTTTTCACCTTTAAATCCTTCAGTTGGGGTCTGTATAAAGTGGAGTGGTCTGAATTCCTCCTGATTGTAACTCCACAAGCCCCTCTTTCACCCCGTCTCTGAGGTGTGTCTCGGAGCGACTCGTTTTGAGGCCGTCTCCTTAAATCCATACGAAGTGCTTCAAACCCCGCCCCTCTCCAGCTTCCAGAGCGGTTCATTCTAGTTGGATAGAGGGGGTTACGACTAAATACCTGCACAGAAACTTTTAATTTACAAATTAATTAAAAGATGTCTACAAGGGAAGACTTGTCAATGTTGGAGCCAGAGTCTGACCTGGAGCTAGAGGAGAATGAAGACTACCAAATTATAGATGGTAGGTCCAGAGCTTATTTGGCTGTTTCTAAAAACCGAACGGGTTGAAAATATGACCCAAACAGAATATAAAGATATCTACACAGCACCGGGAGAGACTAAATTAAACTTTTCTGCACTCCTAGAGACTCCCAAGTACACAACAAATGCATTTAATGGCTWAAAAAAGTGGATTTTGCATGATACATTCTCTTTAAACACTACGTTACATTGTGAATAAAATCAATGTGTTCTGTTTTTATTTATTTTACACAACGTACCAACTTTTTCAGAATCAGTGATGCATTTGAAAATGAAACAATTATTTCAGGGGGAAATAAACGGATTTGGTACTAATTAACTTTCCTCTGCCKCGCCAGCTGCATGCTGCTGTGGCAGAAACGGAGCAGGAAAAGTTTGAAATGCAGAAGAAACACACTGAAAACATCCAGGAGCTGCTGGAAGACACCAACCAGAGACTGGCTAAGATGGAATCTGAGTATAACGCTCGTGCTCAGGCCACAGTAAGTACATCAATACATGTGCACATATTTAGGCTCCCGGAGGAGAATTAGCTAAAAGCATGTCATGTACCCAAGTACGGTACATAAGTATCTTTTTTTACCCCGCTTTATTTTTCTGTGAAATCCACTACAGTTCAAATATTTACTGTCTAATTTACACGATYGTTAAAAGCAGTAAATGTTTAGTTTCACCTCTTTTCATTGACATATTTTAACATCATTTGTATAACTTACCAAACAAAAAATCTACATACATATATCAACCAATAATCTAATTCTTCATTATTTATTCAATATGTCTGTTGCTCTTAATTGAACCTGTTCCAAACAAACCTCATTCAAGACCACACTGAACCAACTGTTTTTCAGCCTGCTTTTTTATTTCTTGTTTGTGAAAGACATTGMCAGGTTTTACAGTGATGCTACAATTTGTTTTCAGCTCTAAATGCATACACGCATCAGAAAACACTGACCTGCCTCTTTTTATTGGCTTAAATAAAGGGATGCCTCCTTTAACATCTGGGTGGGAGTGACTTCAATATTCTCTGCCTGTCATTGCTTTCAATGCCTTTGATCTTTTTCCTTATTAAATCTTACTCATTGCTATGATTGTCCTCAAAGATATTCACACACACACACACACACACACACACACACACACACACACA